ACACCCACACATACATCTCATCGTGAGGCTACAAATAAATAATCACAAACTTGCAATAAAAACAGGTAATCAAACAGGTAATAACAACAGATAGTGACAACAGGTAGTGACAGCAGGTAATAACAAGTAATAACAACAGGTAATAACTGGTAATAACAGCAGGTAATAATAGATAATCACAACAGGTAATGACTACAGGTAGTTACGACAGGTAATAACAACAGGTAGTCACAACAGGAAGACACAACAAGTAGTCACAACAGGTAGACATAACAGGTAGTTACAGCAGGTAGTCACAACAGGTAGACACAGCAGGTAGTCACAACAGGTAGTCACAACAGGTAGACACAACAGGTAGTTACAACAGGTAGACATCACAGGTAGACACAACAGGTAGTCACAACAGGTAGACACAGCAGGTTGTCACAACAGGCAGGCACAGCAGGTAGTCACAACAGGTAGACATCACAGGTAGACACAACAGACACAGCAGGTAGTCACAACAGGTAGACACAACAGGTAGGCACAACAGGTAGACACAACAGGTAGACACAGCAGGTAGTCACAACAGGTAGACACAACAGGTAGGCACAACAGGTAGACACAACAGGTAGACACAACAGGTAGTCACAACAGGTAGGCATCACAGGTAGACACAACAGACACAGCAGGTAGTCACAACAGGTAGACATCACAGGTAGACACAACAGACACAACAGGTAGTCACAACAGGTAGACACAACAGGTAGACACAACAGGTAGACACAACAGGTAGGCATCACAGGTAGACACAACAGACACAGCAGGTAGTCACAACAGGTAGACATCACAGGTAGACACAACAGACACAACAGGTAGGCACAACAGGTAGACACAACAGGTAGACACAACAGGTAGTCACAACAGGTAGGCATCACAGGTAGACAGAACAGACACAGCAGGTAGTCACAACAGGTAGACATCACAGGTAGACACAACAGACACAACAGGTAGGCACAACAGGTAGACACAACAGGTAGACACAACAGGTAGTCACAACAGGTAGGCATCACAGGTAGACACAACAGACACAGCAGGTAGTCACAACAGGTAGACATCACAGGTAGACACAACAGACACAACAGGTAGTCACAACAGGTAGACACAACAGGTAGACACAACAGGTAGACACAACAGGTAGTCACAACAGGTAGTCACAACACTTGTATGGTGTGTTCACAGCGTTGAGTTCGTGGTGCCGAATGATGTTCAGTTCGGTGATCGACTGCCGAACGGCTCCTGGTCGGGACTGATGGGTTTACTGCACCGACGAGTGAGTTCCTGGATCATATTTCCCTAGGCGTGTGGAGGCTCTATCCCCCGTTCGCTATTCCCGGCCAAGTCTTAGATTAGCGAGGCAGATGGTGGAGGCTAGTTCATCTCTCCTGTGCCTTGGGCCCAAGAGCTAGAGTAGCTAGAGTCCTGGCTGCGCGAGTAGGATGTTTGAGGCGATTGACGGACGAAGGATCGAGGCTGTGCCATGTGTTAGATGACTCATATGGATTTATCAGCATTATGATGATGATACATGTGATGGTGGTCGATGTGATGGTGGTCGATGTGATGGTGGTTGATGTGATTGTGGTTGATGTGATGGTGGTCGATGTGATGGTGGTCGATGTGATGGTGGTTGATGTGATTGTGGTTGATGTGATGGTGGTACATGTGATGGTGGTCGATGTGATTGTGGTTGATGTGATGGTGGTACATGTGATGGTGGTCGATGTGATTGTGGTTGATGTGATGGTGGTACATGTGATGGTGGTACATGTGATTGTGGTACATGTGATTGTGGTACATGTGATGGTGGTACATGTGATTGTGGTACATATAATGGTGGTATATGTGGTGGTGGTACATGTGACTGTAGTCGATATGATTGTGGTTGAAGTGATGGTGGTACATGTGATGGTGGTACATATGATGGTGGTACATGTGATTGTGGTACATGTGATGGTGGTACATGTGATGGTGGTACATATGATTGTGGTACATGTGATTGTGGTACATGTGATTGTGGTACATGTGATGGTGGTACATATGATGGTGGTACATGTGATTGTGGTACATGTGATTGTGGTACATGTGATGGTGGTACATGTGATGGTGGTACATATGATTGTGGTACATGTGATTGTGGTACATGTGATTGTGGTACATGTGATTGCGGTCGAGGTGATTGTGGTTGATGTGATGGTGGTACATGTGATTGTGGAACATGTGATGGTGGTACATATGATGGTGGTACATGTGATTGTGGTACATGTGATGGTGGTACATGTGATGGTGGTACATATGATTGTGGTACATGTGATTGTGGTACATGTGATTGTGGTACATGTGATTGCGGTCGAGGTGATTGTGGTTGATGTGATGGTGGTACATGTGATGGTGGTACATGTGATTGTGGTTGATGTGATGGTGGTACATGTGATGGTGGTACATGTGATGATGGTACATGTGATTGTGGTTGATGTGATGGTGGTACATGTGATGATGGTACATATGATTGTGGTTGATGTGATGGTGGTACATCTGATTGTGGTACATGTGATTGGGATTGATGTGTTGGTGGTGGTACATGTGATTGTGGTTGATGTGATGGTGGTGCACGTGATGGTGGTACATGTGATAGTGGTTGATGTGATGGTGGTAATTGTGATGGTGGTACATGTGATGGTGGTACATGTGATTGTGGTTGATGTGATGATGGTACATGTGATGGTGGTACATGTGATTGTGGTTGATGTGATGGTGGTACATGTGATGGTGGTACATGTGATGGTGGTACATGTGATTGTGATTGATGTGATGGTGGTACATGTGATGATGGTACATGTGATGGTGGTACATGTGATTGTGGTTGATGTGTTGGTGGTGGTACATGTGATTGTGGTTGATGTGTTGGTGGTGGTACATGTGATTGTGGTTGATGTGATGGTGGTGCACGTGATGGTGGTACATGTGATAGTGGTTGATGTGATGGTGGTAATTGTGATGGTGGTACATGTGATTGTGGTTGATGTGATGATGGTACATGTGATGGTGGTACATGTGATTGTGGTTGATGTGATGGTGGTACATGTGATGGTGGTACATGTGATGGTGGTACATGTGATTGTGGTTGATGTGATGGTGGTACATGTGATGGTGGTACATGTGATGATGGTACATGTGATTGTGGTTGATGTGATGGTGGTACATGTGATGGTGGTACATGTGATTGTGGTTGATGTGATGGTGGTACATGTGATTGTGGTTGATGTGATGGTGGTACATGTGATTGTGGTTGATGTGATGGTGGTACATGTGATTGTGGTTGATGTGATGGTGGTACATGTGATTGTGGTTGATGTGATGGTGGTACATGTGATTGTGGTTGATGTGATGGTGGTACATGTAATGTTGGTACATTCAAGGCAATATTCACTCAACTCCTTCACTCCACTAGTGCAACAATGCACTCACTGACTCACCCTACAGACTCGCTCCAATTACTCACTCCACTGACTCACTCCACTGATTCACTCCACTGACTCACTCCACTGACTCACTCCACTGACTCACTCCACTGATTCACTCCACTGACTCACTCCACTGACTCGCTCCACTGATTCACTCCACTGACTCACTCCACTGAATCACTCCACTGACTCGCTCCACTGACTCGCTCCACTGAATCACTCCACTGACTCACTCCACTGACTCACTCCACTGACTCGATCCACTGAATCATTCCACTGACTCGCTCCACTGACTCACTCCACTGACTCGCTCCACTGACTCGCCCCACTGACTCACTCCACTGACTCACTCCACTGACTCACTCCACTGACTCGCTCCATCGTTGGTTTACACTCCATTTTCTTTCACCCAGGCAGATTTTTTTTCTGCTACAGATCCCTTATGCGGCAAATAATGAAAGATGAATGTGGACGCGACCAAAATAAATCACATCAATTTTTTAACCGAATTGTGGAAGAATAAAGCCAAAATAATTAATAAAGATTCCTCTATCTTTTAGTAATAAATATATATTTATTAGTAAGGTAAATAATATAATGGAATACAATTCTGAGGCCTGAGATTTAACAATTTCGTTTTATATTTACTGTATCTGTGATATTTTCTTTGGGAGAATATCACAGATATAAGGATTTTAATATCTCTTCCTGTGTGACGGTGACGGTGATGGTGGCGTGTGACGGTGACGCTGATGGTGGCGTGCGACGGTGACGTGTGGGTGTGACCAGGAGGTGAACATGTCTGGGGTGATCGTTGGCTACAACGTCAAGAGAACACCCATCATAGACTACAGTACTCCTCTCTACATCGACTCCAGCAAGATTATATACAAGCGACCGGTTTTTCCCCCTGACATAACGGGATTCGTCAAGCCGTACACCTCCACGGTAAGAAGACGTGTACACCCACAAACAAACATAACTTATACGTACACACACGTACATAAACGCTCAAATGGTGAAACAGTCAAAGACGAGGCATCTATGTACGCCAAGAAAATGACAATCCTCCAATTCCTTGAATCAAACACGATTACCTCACAATCCTTACATGCCATGTGACCCCTCAAGGAAGGTTCCTTGATGTTGGTGAGGGGCTCTTGATTTAGGGAATTGGATCTGTGCTCCAGTTCCCCAAATTAAGCCTGAATGCCTTCCACATCCCCCCCCAGGCGCTGTATAATCCTCCGGGTTTAGCGCTTCCCCCTTGATTATAATAATAATAACATGCCATGTGACTCCAGTAGGCTTTGCGCTTCCTGATTAACGATGCAGATATAATATAACTATTACTGATATTACCTGTAGATGTGGCTGCTGCTGGCACTGACGATCCTCTTGGTGTTCTTCATTCTGATGGTCTTTCTGTGGCTCCATGACAGACTGGAGGAGCCTGATTCTGCTTCAAGGTATACTGACGTCTTTCAGAGCACCTGATCCTCCCACAAGGTATACTCACGTCTCTCACAGCACCTGATCCTGCCACGTCCTCTAGTCTTACCTTCAATATATGTTCTAATTTCAAAGATTTTATTACTATTCTTGTACATGAGTAACTATAAGCAGACAACTACCCGACAACACACCTTCACCCACCATGCACTGAAAAATAAACACATCTTACAAAGGAAACAACAGAACTAAAGGCATGTATCTTGAGGCTGCCGCCATCCACCTCTCCAACGCCCGACAACAGAGGGATAATATATTTTGTCTAAACTCACTCTCTAGATAATGTTGGATCAACTTATTATATGCTACGACCTCGTCCTTCAGCCTTACCTCGCCTCGGCTTGGCATCACTTGACTTACAATGACACCTGATCTGACCCTTTACCTCCTTCACCTTTCTCACTGCTGTTTTCATGCATTTCACCTACTCGATATAGCTTCTGATGGGAACAACGTCGTTTTAATAAAAAGATTTCTTTGCTGCAAGTGTTTTTCCATCATTACTGTTCTTTCACAGTATTTTTTCCCTCCTCACAGTTTGAAGAGACTTGCGTGGACTTCTACTCTCTGGATCTACTCATCTACCCTAGCTCAGTGTAAGTGTGTGTATGTTATGGCAGTAGTTACTGTCACGATGGTCAGGTGACACAAATGCACTGACGTTGAGACTTTATTGACGACGTCTCGCCCACGCAATGTGCTTTGATAAAGCTCATTGCATCGGCGAAAAGTCGTCGATAAAAGTTCCGTAAATCTACATTCGTTTCGCTCATCGAAAAGGTTATCAAATCTTGACTTCAGCGAAACGTTGTCCTGGTACTGCCAGGTATTTTTTATGTTGTTACTGGGAGTGCATGAGATGAATCTAGCATTGTTTTCTGCGTTCTGTTTTCTTCCTAAACGTTTTACTTAAAACCCTAAAATAAGTGTCTCCTTTATATTCTCTGTTTAGCTGCGCAAATATCTTAGATTTTCTTGAAGAATAAGCCGCAATAACATGGCTAGAATAGTTCAAAATTAACTCAAAGTTAGAAGAGAATTAGACGACGTTTCAACACGCCCTGAACCGTTGTCAAGTCCATTATCGATCAAGGACGAACCGAAACGTCGTCTGATGCTTTCGCAACACTTTTCGTCAACGATGTCTTAAATTTCCCTGTATATACCTTGCTATCTTACCCATTTCTATTGACAGCGTCCAGCTGGTGGCCAAAGGGGAGTTCCGTCAGGGTAATGGCCACTTTGTGGCTGGTGATGGCCTTCATTTTGGCCACTGTGTATCGCTCCAATCTCATGGCCACCCTCATCCTGCCCAAACACCGTCTGCCTTTCGACAACCTGAGACAACTGGTCGATTCTGGCATTCCTTGCTACGTTAACCCTGGCAGTAATATACATTATAATATCCTAGTAAGTTGAGGCAACAAGAATACTACTTTCGTGATCTCACAGACACATTCTCAAAGTCCAGGGAAGAAAATAAAAAAAATATTTGTCTTATACTCTGTAGGGATGTAACTCACACACGAACCTGACTTAGCTCTGCAACAGTCGCATTTTTATGTATTATAAATGTGTAATTCTAAATCGTATTACTAATTAAACCATCTAGAAATCTTTCTGAGTAATGTTCTAGCACATCAGCAAATTTTATGGTGTGATCTAGACTATTTACACCTATTACATTCACTTTTTTACCAGAGTTTTACAAGGTTAGAATAAGGATTCCTAACTTTATTTACAAGCTAAGAGCTGTTACGTACATCAGCTCATTTAAATTTTGTTGTCTGGTGCAGCAGGCAGAGCCGGGGTCATTGCTAAGTAGATTCAGAAAGCAGATGATTCTCAATATCGACCATGAATGGGCCACTAACGCCCTCCTGAATGGCACCATCGCCGTCTTCACCAGCGAGGGTGCCACTCTCTTCATTATTGCCAACAACTTTGCTAAGGTAATTATGGATGTTTTACTTCTATAACAACTTTGACTTCTAAACCATTCCACCAGACTGAAAGACGAACATCAGATTAGACAGTAAGTTGAAACGAATGTGAACGAGTCTGCTTGGATTTTCTACTCATTTCCGCAATATTGCAAGCTCCTGATGTGTTGGTTGCAACACGAAAGGCCTAGAGGTATCATTCAACTCTCCCCATGGTTGTTTTGCATATATGTACATACACACACACACACACACACACACACACACACACACACACATATATATATATATATATATATATATATATTATATATATATACAATATATATATATATATATATATATAATATATATATATATATATATATATATATATATATATTATATATATATATATATATATATATATATATGTCGTGCCGAATAGGCAGAACATGCGATCTTGGCTTAAATAACAACCCTCATCTTACCATATAGGACAAGCGAAAATTTGCGTTTGCAATAATTTTGCCAAAATCATTCTGAATCTAACGAAAAAAATT